TCAAGCAGAAAACTCAGAAACCTTACTTTCTCTCTCTATTTCTCTCTCCTCTTTTCTCTCTGCACAGCGCACGTACGCTGCACGCTGCTCTGCATTTTCTCTGCATGCCCTAATTTGTCTTACTTCACCTTAATTAGTGATTTGGGCTCAATAGGCCCAATTTGTCCAAGCCCACATATGAGCTGGACCCAACAGATGCTTAATTAAACCTGGAGAACTATGCTTCTGGATGTTTCACGCTTCGATAAGGATCAGTTTTCAGATCGAGGCAACGATTCTCAACAGTAGGAGCTAACAAAAGGCTAGCTATTGACAAAGGATGTTCTGGCACAAGAAGATTTCAAGTGAATTTTAAAACCAAGGAATACCTGGTTAACCTGCTAGTGTCAATGTCAAGAATGAGCATTTTGAGGAGAAATAAACTCTCAAATACTTGGTTTCTTGCTGTGTTTATGAGTGAAGAAGACCACAAAATCAGTTAAGCATTTATCATTTTAATGGTTCAACATGATAACTGAGTCAGACGAATTATGTAACGTTCATTGTTTGTACTCTTGATTTAATTTGCATAATTTCTTCTGCTGGTTTCTCTCAGGGAATCTTGCTGAATGTACTCGGACTGAAGAGAGAGTAACATTTGTTGGTGCTGTGAAACAAAGGCATGCGTGTAAGCTACCATCTGCTCTTGCAGCAGCTTGACAAACATGGTGAGTTAAGTCTGACGTTGTGATGGCTGCTGCTCCATCACCATACAACTACAAGATGAAGACAAAACTAGCCTCCGGATGAAGCACAAGGTGAACTAACTTGCTATATCTCAGACCAATTCCACTAGTATGACTAGTAAAAAATCTTCTAGTTCTAGCTGCTATACTCTAGAACAATCTACCTGCTGAAGCATTTGGCGTTTACATCCTTTCCTATGACCCTAGTCTACAATCAGAAAGTCCTCCCAGTTAATTATGGCTTATCTAAGCCAGGCTCACAACATCACAGTCGTATCACATCTAAGGTTTGTCGTGATTAAACAACCCCCTTGCAATTCATTCTCCCTCCCTCACTAAATCTTATTACCACATTTATGGTTTAACTTCCATTTTTACCATTTGCCTCATCTTGCTCCTATTCTAATTCATTTGGCTACATGCATTCCATCTCTAATGTAGAACTGCAATTCTGGAATCTTGCTCCTTTTTTTTCAGTGACATTTCTATTTAAAGAGGAGACTGTTGACCATCTTCTCTCTTCTATACAATAGTCTAGCATAATTAATATTTAATCCCTCACTTTTGGCAGTTATAAGCTCCATAAATTAATTTGCCCATCAACTCCTTGTTCTGGATGGTGAATTATCTGTACTACGCATGAAGCCAGTTCTTCCTGAATGTAAACCACCATCCCTCTGTTAACAGGGTTGTAAGAATAGTGTTATGGGGCCAACATGCACTTCAGAAAACCATAACAAATATAAGTTTTGTGCTCACCAAAGATTAACTTCAATACTGCTGTAATAGAACAATGCACTTGAATAATGACGAAGAAAACATAGTAATAAACCTCCACTTATTACACAAACGAATGGAGACAGCATATTGTTGAATTACTGAATGTCTTATATTAATTAGATCCTAACCTCCAAACAACTAGTTAAAATGTTTAAGCTTAAGTTGATAATAGTACTATACTTATCAAACATTGATATGTCAATCTTAGTCTTAGTCACTTCTAATATGAGACTAATTGGGATGTTATAATTTTTCTCACTCAAATGCTTATGTCCTCGTCAAGGCTCAACATGATTGATGCGGCGTAACATAGTGATGGCTCCATATCATGACAAGTCCCATAACTTCATTTACGGATAGTCTTTTCCTACTCGAATCCTCTCACCATACCCAAATATTAGATTAACTCTTGTTGTTTATCAATAATCAAAATAAAGATGAAGATTACTGATTTAGAGCATGTGTTGACCCAGTGATTAACTTTAGTTCCTATCCATTTTAAATTACACAGGTGGTTTCAACGAAGATTAAGAGATTAATGAGCATATAAAGAAATCAGTAATCTTCATTGGCCCCTATAGCAAATCACTAGACTACGTAATCGTTCCATTGTAATTTGCGATTAGCTCTCTAGTATTTTCACTTTATGCACATCAAAATTTTGTATAACAGTTTGTATTTTAAAAGACAAGTACATGTTCAATAATAATTACTACCTCCAAGGCATTACCTATAATAAATATCCTCTAGCTTGATCCCTTGTGCCTCGAGAGCATCCTATTGAGTCACGAACAAGAGAGATCAAACTTCGTTCGCTAAACCACGTCCATCGTTTTTGCTTGCATCGCTTCCATGAACCATTTCCTATCCTCCTCATCGAGGAACACAAAGTAGAACCACCTACACTAACCCCATTATAGCGATCATCGCAACACTCACAGATCGGAAAGTGGTTACTCGATTTCATTCACTGATTCATACAGCAAAAGAATTTCCTATAACGATTGTTTCTGGACACAGCGACCAAAACCCTAGATTGATGGGGGCATGCCCTTGGAGCATATCGCAGCCATGCAAGAATCAGTCAATTTGAAGAACCAGGAACGGAGAAGCAAAGCGATCAGTAAACTACCTCAAGACTCGAGCAGGGAGAGTCCCATCAGCTTGAGAGAGGCTCCATCTCAACAACGCATCCCACTTCGATTCGTCGCCCGCCATCAATTGTTCTTAGAACCCTTCAAATGGAAAATATCACTCCCGCTAATTTATAGACTCACAGTCGTAAGACGATTTCGGCTCGTTTTGGGCTTCTACCGTAATTTATGGAGTGGGCCTAATTGATTGAGCCCATACAATAATTTCTTTTGTCACATTAGAGAAATAATTAATTTTATTAAATTTTAAATCAGTAAATTTTGTAATTATATATTTATTTTTCACTGAATACTAAAAAAAATATTTTAATTGGGTGTACATGCTTAATATAAAAACTCACCTTAATTTCTATTTATCCAAGCACAAGAAATATATCATCATCTCATTTTAGATCAGATGGGGCAAACAAACTCAAATCTTAAAAAAAAAATATAGATAGCTTAATTGATTGATTTGCAAGTTATTTAATTTTGAAATAAAAAGAAACCAGTATACCGATATCATATTATACTATCTTTTTTTATTGGTATAAATTGCAATCAATTTTAATCATGTTTTGAAGTGATTGTTGAACCACAACTTCATGATTTTTTGACTGAGATATTCAAATTGAAATATGTAATGCAAATAGTTCATTCTAGAGAATATATTCATTTCTTGATCAACTCAAATGTTATATGGCTTGTCCTCCATTTCATTCTGCAGATTATTCTCCCTATTATATTCAAGTTTGTGTGCTACAAGCCAGCATGGTTTCAATTCTCCAAACAGAGCATCAGAGGAAGTTTCTTCAACAATGACCATTGAAAGATCCATGTAGGAAGAATCAGCAAATAGGAGCAAACAATCCACATGTGGTGTGGGTGATAGATTCAGCATTCATGGCACATAGTTCTGATACCAACTTGTGATGGAGCCACTTTCTTCAGCAGTATACTGTTCTCATAGTTTGACTTCTAGATACTTCTGCAGAGAAATTTCAGCTCAGGAGAAGTATTCAAAGGGGCATTTATATTGCACTTATCTATTGTTAAGAACAATTATTTTCCACGTTTCTGGACAAAAGAAAAAATCTATTATATTTATCTAATTGTAATTAGAACTTCCCCTTTTCCTTATCTAAACAATGGAGTAGTAAATGTTAGAGAAAAGAACATTCTTTTCATAGGTTTCAGTAATTGCTTGTTTATCTGGAGGGTATTGTTGCTGGATTATTATTGACAGAACCACAAATAATTATCAATGACTACTCCTTATAATGCCAAGTTCTTATCCATTTGAACAAGTAAATTATAATCTTCAAGCACCACTTATAGTTAGGTTCTTATCCATGTGGAGACAAGACCATCTGCACTATTTCAGTTTGTATGTTTCAGATTGGTTGGTGCTTATCATCGTTTCAGCATGGTCAAACTATGAAAGCTTTGGAATCCATCCGCCAAACCATGGAAATAAATGAAAAACAATGGGCAAGGTCATGAATCATCCCTTGCATAATCCATGACAACATCCATTGTTTGCACCTCTGAAAAGGAAAGCTCATGGAGTTGACTGCCTCTTTTTTCTTTCAGAAGCATCCTACCTTTGAGTGAAGGAAACTGAGATTTAAACTATTGCAATCATTCAGAGCTTGTCCATGTTCCAAGAAAAGGGTGGAATTACCAAAGGATCTAGATCGACAACAACAATTCTCTTGATCAGTCTATATAAACATCAAAGCAGCAAAAGAATGGTCATTGCTATGCAACTGTCAACGTAAGACTTCTTCTGGAATGCACATCCCTCCCCTCTAAGTCAACCCTTGTGTGGCTTCAGCAGCTGCGGTTTGTGTCCACACCATTGCATCTTTAATCAGCTGCTGCTGATCAAAGGATTGGTCCCATTACTCTTCTAGATTTTTCATTCTTTCAAATGATGTCAAGCCAAGGTCTATTAAAACCTCTGTTAATGCAGTCTTCAAGTGTTGTCCTCCGATTGGTTGATCACAGGGAAGGTAGATCAGTTATTACTAAACTAGAGGGATCACTCAAATGCAGAAGGCTTGCAAATAAGTCAAGGCTATATTACTTCATAAAGTCAAACACATTATACACTGATATTCCAAATTTGCATTTCTATCCATATAAAATATTCCTATAGATCATTGATGGATGATACAGGAGGCAAATAGAACAAAACTTTTTAAATATAAATGCAAGATCTAAATCCAAATGAATTTGAACTTAGATAACTAAAATATATAACCTTAAGCTGATAGTTACTTATCTACCTAAAATATATATACCTATAATAATACTCTTTTGCTGTCTTTTGAGATAAAAGTCCTTTAAAAAGTTTGAAATAATCAATATTATGAAAGGCTTTAAGACCAAAACTTGTAGTTTTGTAGAGTATTAATGTTGACAAGAAAGAAACTTAGAAAAGAGATAATCTATACTTGTTCTGCAATCATCTAATATAAATATGAGCACACTATAAGATTACTGATAAATTAGCAGCATGTTCAGAAATATGATGACAGCTATCAAGCCTCAGGTGGCAACAGAGATGTTGTCACTCACAGGCAATCCTAAATTTAAAGCAACTAGTACATCTTTAATTATTTGTTGCTTGGTCACCTCATTTTGGTACAGCTAAGCTCAACTTAACTACAGAACAACTGCAGACAACCAAGAAAAAGTTTTGGGTCACAACTCAAAAGAAAATGCATGAGTTATCAATCAATGAACTTTTTGGATACTGAGACCCCAACAACATGCCCTTTTGGATACTGATACACTCAATTTGATCTAGATTGTCCATGTCAACTGGTCTTCTTACACTGTCCTTCTAAAGCTAATCCACTTGCTAGCAATGGTCCTGGAACTACTCACAGTTGCCACTAAATCTAATGCTACTCATAATATGCAGACCTAATAGAAAGTGTGTTGTGTATGAGATATCCCATTGTGCAATGTTATTCTACCAAACTTGTGTGAGAACAAATGGATGATGGAGGAGAGGACAAAACAAACTCACACTTCCAAGAGAAAAAGATGATCTCTTCCATCGATTTGGTGGTCTAAATCCATCGTATTGCTTGCATCAGCAACAGCAGAGAACATTGCATAGCAAGAAAAGAATGCGGAATGCATGGATTATTTGATTCATCAAAGCATTTGGTGGGTGTATGGGGTCTGTGAGGCACTTCTGTACACGTGCAGTCACCATC